GTTCCCATCGATCGATCTCAATCATACATGGTATTGTCTTCTCGCTTTGTGATGAGGATGCCACTGAGTCGAGTCTAATTTTGACTGTGTTGCAGATTTCTTTCAATGGCTGAAAACGTTTTACTAGTTCGCTTTGATGTTTCTTTATACATGTCGAGCAGAATGGAGTTTGACAAACTTCACAACGCACATTGCCGACTTGTTCTTTACATAATGTACATTTCATTGTAATTACGGCTGGCGTAGACTCAACAATCTAGGATGAAAGTAAACGAATAATAATGATGAATTTATTAACAATGACCCTACATTTCTTGTAGAGCCGTCGTTCGAGGATCGTTGTTCACAAGTGAGATTGTCCGCAGGATTTGTCGTTTTCTTACTGTTCGATTGTCTAATGGCGTGAGAATGTGATGGTGAGAGTGTCGCAGTTTGCATTCGTGGTGATATAGATGGGTCTACTTTAGACGACTGCTGAATAGAGATGTAACGATTCTGCTGGTCTTGTTTTTCTTCATATTCTTCTGCAACTGTTCTCATTTGCATTTCTCTTTTTTGTGTTTCATAAAAGTCGCTCAGGTATTTTCGATATAGCATGAAAAAGTTTTTACGTGACACAAGATTTGTGGTACCAAGTTGAGCACAATCAATGGGTGTATCGATATGAGTCGTTTCTTTGCGAAGATAAATTGTTTTTACTTGTAGATAATCGCGAACCAACAGTTTCGTTTGCTCTGGCGTCATATCATTATTCAGAAAATGAACAGGCAAGAGATTCTGTTGGTGTGCTCGATCAATTGATTGGTAAAGTGGAATTAAGTTTTCAAGTTCGTATTTGTACTTCGTTGTAGACGAAATTTGATATTCGTCATCACTTGTTTGTAATGGGCAAAAGTGCGATCGGTCGTAGGCTAAAACGATGGGTTCACGAATACATTCGTTTACTGGATACAAAATCGGTAGGTAAATTCCTAACAGATCATTGATCGAAATTGCTTCACCATATTTATTTCGAATGACATCTTCGGAGAAGAGAATAATCGGTCGTTGAAGCATATTCGATAGTGAGAAAACATGTACTGCCTCGAGAAAACGGAGACACGTTGTTGCTTGTTCGTCTTCAACATTTTCGTATCGAACCAGATCACATAATTCTTGCCATTCCTACAGTAGGAGAAAGCATTTATAGGAGATAAGAATTAATCGTTCACATTTACTTTGTCAAGTTCTGTATCTTCCAATTGAACACCATACATTCGATCATTTCTCAATCGCTGTGTTCGCCAGTGAGTTTTAAGTGATTTCTCATTTGTTTCCATGAAAGTTTTTAGCCGATCACGTAAATGAAGGTTCAAATCGTGGATACCCACCATAGCTAGGAGTACAGCATGTAGAAGGCAATTTCCATTACCTAAACATAGATCGTTCACTATCAGAATATGTTAGCCTATGAACAATGCACTAAGGAGTTAACCGAAGTGTCGAGATACTGGACAAATGTTATGCTTTTGACAAACATACGAAGAGATAATGCGTTGTGAACTGAACACAATCAACTATTTTAAGAGAAGATCTGTCAGAAGACTAACCAACATAACCAGAGGTTGGCTGTGGAAAAATTTTGGATTTTTAATTCGATTGTTTCTTTCAAAAGCCTATAGAAATCAAATATTTAACTTTGAAAGAAGAATCAGCCCTCAACATTCCAACATGATTCATGTAGGAATTTATTGAATTACGTCATACCACTCCGGTCATAACTCATTTCACGAAGTTTCAGAATTGTTTATTTTATCGTTTTTTGAGTCTTCTGAACGTGTTGTATAGACGAATAATTCAAGATGTGTCAGTTTAGTCGCTCAGTCATATGGAAATAAATAAGTAAAGAGTAAGTACTTGTATAGAGAGGAACGTTTACAGCTGTGTACTAGTGAATCTTATAGTCTATACTTAAAAGTGACTTTTAACAAGATTCAACTGCGGGAGAATCCCATTTTGATGAGTTGCATGATCACATAGTCTTATTTGTTAAGCTATGGCCAGTGCTCATAGAATTCTCTCACGTTCTAATAATATTCTACTATTTAGGCTACGATTTCCTCCAAAAATATATATCAGTAAGTATAACCTACCTGTATCATATTTCAGCTTGATCTATAGGTAAAGAATGAAAAATCATGTATTTTAGTGTGGCTCAAAACTATTCACATAATTCTTTTCATAATATTAAATGCAAATTTTCGTCATGAACGACTTATTGTACTTTTTGTTTTAAAAAAAACTAAACGAACTTTGAATATGTATGAATAGATCAAATATAGAAAAGGTGACTTTAGAACACAAAAATAGAAAAACAACCAGTTTGTTCAGAAGAAAAAATTAGAACATAAGTAGTAAGTCACGTGTAAAAAGAATAAAGCGTTTTTTTTCTGAACCAGTGTGTGAATCGAATTGAATAGTGAATGGAAGTGTAGGTGAAAAAAGGACTCACTTCCAACCAACCATCCTCAACTTACTCTCATACTGTACAATGATCAATATTTTCGAAGATAAAATGAATCGATAGGCAAAAGATAAACTTTAAATAATTGGTTTTGCTCAGTTTTTCGTTGCTTCAGATCTACGTGTCAAGTAAATAGATAAATTTGACCAATGCTTTAATTTCTAATATGACACTCGACTGAGCTAGAGACTCTACATTAATATTTTCTTACCAGATGTTCGTACCGGATACACTCGTTTTAGTGAGCTCACATAATTGATTACTTTTGCATCTTCCATAGTTCTTAATATTGTACGATCGATCAAAAATCGATGGATAGGCATATCAGCATTGTCGTATATAAAGTCCAATGGAATCGTTGACGTAAATTTGTTCAATTTCGAGAGATTTTCAATAATATTTTTGCTCAAACCATGAACTAATTTGTTAACTTCAATTTTAATATATTCAGAAACGGATGGATTATCTTTGCTTTGTAATTTCTCACTTGTTTTTACGTTTGATTCACAACAATAGTTTTGAAACGAAGGCAAAGCGTATGGATGTTTCACATGGATTCGTTTCATCGAAAGAGTATTAGCATCGGTACGAGTCGAAATATCTGTTTCACTGGCTTTTTGAGACATTGGAAGAATACAAAATGTGTTTTTATTATGAATAGAATGAAACTCGTAGCATGTGCGTAGCTGAAAGAAAACAAGCAAATATTTACAAAGATTGACAATGATTCATTCTAATGCAGTCATATTGAGAATCTAACCAACCCGACACGTTTTGCATCTAAATAACTGCATGCTCTAGAATCCTGAAAAAAAAATCCGTCGACTTTCATCATTTTTTATTACTTCATGTAAACCTCTCATATCAAGATCAATTGATGTCTTTTCTATAATGCAATAAAGTTAAATTTTTATTCGATATTTAATAGTTATTTATCTGGATGTCGCTGTCGAACACAAACTCTCATCTGAAATATGGTTCACAATTGTATTAAAGAGTTCATTTCTGATCCCAAAAAATTTTCTATCTTTTTTTAATTTTGTTATTGTCTTTGAAGAGATACTCTGAGTGTGATTGATGGTGTATGAATGTATCCTTTTCTGTACCTCACACTCACATTCTTTGGTATAGATCGGAATATTCTTGCAAACCTTCAATAAAAATTATTATTTTCAGATAAAATTAATATTTCAAAAATTTTCTTTGTTCAACATTGGAATGTTAGATACTTATGAGAAGTTACATTGCTTTTATATAAAACATATGTTAATAATAATTTTCTCACAATCGAAATCAAATTTCTAATTAAAATGATTTTGTAAAAATATAATCTTAAAAAATGGCTAAAGTATAGAGTGAGAATTTTAAACTATTTGTCCTATTATTATAGACTGTAATGCATACCCTCTAAACTGAAGTCCATTATATACTTTTTCGAACTACAAGATAGAAAAGCTGTAAGTTTATATAATCGACTTAAAAAGCTTTATTGTTATTATACACCTTCTGTTAATAAAGTTGTCGTTTCATGTTTTCGCACTTTTATTTTATTGGGATTGTACTAACCGGTTTTTTTTCTCAAAATCTCAATTTTTTTAAGTCTAAAAAATCTATTGCATATTATATGACAGTCAGTAATTGTCTTTTCTGAATCGCATGTTAATATGTATAATGATTCTAAATTTGATACTTTTCAATTGAATAAAATAACTTTCTTCTCCATTGTAATATATTCATTACATAGAAATCAATTTTATTTAAATATAAATAAATTACTTTCGTATCAAGTAAAAATTATTCAAGATAATCTTCGTAAGCTTGAATAATACGAAGTTCAGTAAAGTGACAATATTTAATGATTGATAAATTTTTGATTTTCCATATCGTTTATTATTTTGTTCTTTCTGATTTATTAACATTAATTTTACCAACAATGAAAATGTTTGAGCAACTCAAAGAAAAAAAATCATATTCATCAAATAATGACACTTCATGAATATATATTTAAATAATCTATCTGAAAAATTATTTATTATATCATTATAATATTTCAATCTATATGGATATGAATAAATATGATAGTGACTCTATTTGTTTTCGTGAAAATAATCAACAAAAGAAATAAGTTGGTTATTTTTAAAATCTCTGAATGTTTGTTGAATATCAATTTGATTATAAGAATCGATAGAGGAGTGAATATTAAAAATTATTTCAGTATAATTATTTATATTCCTTTTATAGTACAACGAAAAACATCTTAAGTGAGGAATTTTTTCTTAGACAAAAAAAAAAAAGAAAATACTTAAAATATACGAAGTTAATTAAAATGTTCATCAAGTAAATAAAGGCAATCGATAGAAGTTTTCAAACTGACATGTAATTCTAATAGAATCTAAGAGAAAACAGTTGGATGTGAAATAGTAAATGATAATCATTCATAGTAGAATGAAAGTAAACCGAAATTTAAATATTGTAAATTGCTGAACATATCATAGATTTATGTAAATACAAGTTCAACTATATTTTCTGCTAAATTTTGTTTTTTATTTTTAGTAGTATTGATAATAAGTGATGAAATCTAATTTTTGAGTTATATGAATTACACAAGTTTTGTCTAAATATAAATATAAAAAATATTGAGAAATAAATTTAAGTATTTTTAATATTGATCGGATCATAGCATTGATACTTTTTTGGTCTTTTTTTCAATTTACTCTACAACATACAAATTTAGTCTTCTTTGAAGCTTTATCTTTGTAGCACAGATTTTTTTATAAAAGATGTTCTATAATAACTGAGAATAAATTCTCAATGATATTTTTCATACTTTTTCTTGACGTAGAAGGTTGAAATTTTTATCACATATATCAGGTGTTCTAAAATGCTTGCACACGTTTTACTTTGAGTGCATATCAGCATAGATAAATAATAAAACCTTGACTTTTTTAAAGATGCACTAGCGAAAGCTCTACAAAATCTATATAAAGAAATCTGTATTGACTGTCTCTTCTGATTTTTTTCTAAATGGATGTAGGTGTGGGGGTAGTACTGAAGAGGCCCTACACCCATATTCTCACCCTTTCTGCCTAATTTGCAGGTCCTGAATTTCTACGATCTCACAAAATATTGTTTGTTTATCTTCAGAACAAAAATCAATCATTGATTCTCTGTAAATACTTGAATTCAGTATAGGTAAAGTAGAGAGCATTTTTATTGTTATGAAAACAGTAAATGCATATTTACAAAATCGAACATCTGTCCTAAAATGAGTTGTTAAATGTGGTTCGCTATCGACGCACGGATCTGATTGTATGTATCTTGAAAGACTTGTTCTTTGATAGCTCCAATTCGATGATAATGAGTTCGGGTACTTATGTATGGAACTAACTTTTCAAAAGCATTTTGTAATTGCTTCACAGCCATGGCCCTTTCCGTTAGTAAATTCGGGTTCGTATCACCGTGTGCCCATTGCAGGGTAACATTCAGATAATGTCGAGCAGCTTCTTGGTGAGCTTTTTGGGCGTTTGCGTTACCTTGAACGTCGGCATGAATGGTGTCAATCATGGATTCATCATCAGCTGTCGGTGGAATGTATTCGAAATCAGGATGAGCACCGTTCAATCTTCTTGGAACAACAGATAGATCTATGTACTGAGCTAATTCGACTTCATTTCTAACAAATTTAATTTCATTTCGTATGGTCGGATCCAACCATTTGCTTATGATGGTCCAGCAACCATAAAATATCCATGGAGCGTTTAGTATGATTACCTGACCAAGTGCTTCCGGATAATAATTTTCCATGAGACTGATGAAAAACTTGATATGCTGATAGTCCATATTTTTCAAACGAAACCCACTTAGATCAAAAACAATCGTACTTGTCTCAATGGGAGCCTCAATAAGTTTTCGAACAGTTTCCATCGTTAAAACGGTCTGTTTCTGTGTGGTCTCATGAGGAAATTGACCATTTATGTGATCCTTAGCAGATATATAATTGATCGGACGATCAGCTTTATCATAGCCCATTAAAAAACACTTTCCTGTCTTGATTTCTTCACAGGAGAGGCCACTCTCGCCTTGAGCCACAAGTGCCTGAACTCCCCATTCGTGTCGCCACTTTAGCATTTTCATCATTTTCTGAACAGCATCATTGATATTCCACTTACATACGCGCAGCCATCGTAGTGTAAGTACATCAGGATTCTCGTAGCCAACTGCATGAAAGAATTCATCTCCATAAACAGAATTGATAATCTGGTCGACAGGTAACGAACTTTGAGTACTGATAGCATTGATAAGAGCTATCCAATAACGTTTTAGTGTCTCCATCTGTGCCGCATCGAGATTGTCTAGCATGAAATAGATTAGTGGAGAGAATTTTTTGTGGTCAACTATTTACTTACTAACATGTCCGTGATCATTGGCAGTCATGGGCATAATTGAAAATGAATCTCGTACTAGATCAAAGTTTGTTCAAAAGCCTACGAAATATTAAGCAATATCGTTGTGAATACAGGTAACACAATTCAAGAATGGGAACTCTACGAAAACAATATCACTGATTCAATTGGTCTTGATCATCATGTCGATGAAAAAAAAAACTCTTTCTTTGAAAAAAACTACGAAACTCATCCCGGTAAAACTGGAGACTTTATAAATTTCAACGAGAGGATTTCGGTTAATTTCTGTAAAAAAGATTCAGTCACAGCATCTAAGCTTCTTACAATTGAGATTTTCAGACATCAAAATAAAACAATTTAGTGACTTGACGATGCTGAATCGACCAACGAAAGTTAGTTTTTTTTCGATTATGACAGAAAAATTCCACTACATACTCAATGATCTTTACAGATTCTAGCTTTCTCATAGAGATCCAGCTTGTCATACTACTATTACATAGTCTCAGATAAATTTATTTATAATGAATTATTCCGAGTCAGTTTTAGCTTACATAACGACAAACTATGGACTCTACTGCTTACTTCTTACCTTGTTGTATGATATCATCCACCTATCAGCAAATATGTACTTTTGTTGCTGTAAGCATAAGAAAAAAAGAATCACATATCATTTTACTTGTTCTGTTGTTCTCATTGTTGCGAAGCACTTTACATGTAACATATGAGAGTAAGTTCGTTGCGTTTTTTGCGGCACTTAAAAGCGTCCATGATCACGAGATCTTTATTATACTAACAACATTTATTTTTCGAATTTTCTTATTGTCCTCAGCAAGTATAATGATTTCTTATCAGTCCTTGACTTTTGCTTCGAGAGATTTTGAGATAACAAATTATGCATTACACTAGTGACTAATTTCTGCACTATATAAAACATTCGAATGATTTTATAAAGTTTTATTGAATATTACTGTGACATGAAACTTTTCCACGATAATTCAATCAAAAATTTGTGTGCCGGTTCGACCATTTTAGAATGCAAAGTTCACTTTTATACTGATTCCCGTAGAATAACAGATGGTGCTCATAATGCATCCATCAAGTATGTGTGACTCTCATGAATTGCGCAATAATGATTATAGTAACATGTCGATTCCACCGGCAGTTGCAGTTTGAAGTTAAGACGAGGTTCAGATGAGTAACAGATGATATGTTAAATAGAGAAGCATCATGCATAAATGGTCATAGCTCTTGTATTAATCAATCAAACTCAATAAATTTTATAGAATAAACAGTGCTATTGCACAATTATATAGTCATGAGTAACATGATCTGTGATATTGTCCAGTTATGGAGTAACTGGGACTCATCATAACTCGTAATAGTTCGAAGTGATGTTGCTGGCCTACATTCATTAAATACTACGTTCACAAAAATCTTCAACATAATTGCTCTCAAAATGGCAAAGATTCAAGAAGAATGCAGTATTTAACAAGGAAGACACTGTATCGGATGACTCACCTCCGACTAAACAATCGAAAAAACAAGTCGACCTATTTCTTAAAGAAAAGACAAGTTCAATTTGCTAGTCTCAACTCTTACTTTTTAGTAATTGATTAAGTCTAAATGATAATATGCTCAATAAAATAATCAATAAAGTTAAATGTCGAGTTAATTTGCTGAACAAAGAACAAAAAAGTGGGAATCAATCTTTGAAGAAGAAGTTTTCAGAAGGAAAATTATTGTTTAAGTTTATCGTAAATTTGATAATACTGTTCGGGAAAGATATATTTATTAATACCATAATACATTTGATGTTTTATAACAATATTGAATAATAATAATTTGAGAAAAACACTGCAATGCGTTATCAGGAATTTTTTGTTATCTACCATCTTGATCATAAGTCAAATTATTGAAGAATCGTTCACATTATATTAATTTTATGCATGGATAACTAATTTAATAGTTACATATTTGTTGGATTGGCATGTATTGAAATGTAAAATATCAAACTTAAAATATACGTATACTCAGCCGTAATCAAATGCTCGAGTGTAGATGTAGGTGAAGTGAAGTCTCACATTCACATCCAGCCTGATTCAAATAATAGATTTATAGTTTACCGCACAGTGCCACCATTACATTTTCTAATGCTCCAAGCTCGTTTGATAACAATATCAACGATCTCTACAGCGATATGTATATAATAGATAGTCAGATCAACTTAACATGTTTATACTCAACCTAATAAGTACCATTGATGATTGTCATTACAAGTTCCACCCGAAAAGATGCCCGTATTTTTATATGATTGATAAAAAAAAAATAAACCTTAAAGGTGAATCTAGTCCAGACACAAAATTGGCAAGTGTTTCAAGTGTATGACCGGACTGCGAGGCTAAATCATTTCTTCATAGATGTACTGACTACTGTTAACACTCTTAGCAAAAGATAGGAATAAGAATACATGGACAATTTTCGTAAATGATAACAATCGAAGCATTACGAATTTCTGAAATCAATGTCATTCATTTTAGGTACAATCATATAGAGATCATAGAAGAAATAAAAACTCAAGATAACTAGAACTATATTGTTACGTGATGATGACTTACTTTGCAAATAAAACAACTCAATATTCTAACTCTTTTTTTGTAGAAAATAAGAGCTACAAAAATAACCAGATAAGTTTTTCATTGCCTCTTTAGCCTTTGATTATCGTTTTGGTTTAGTTTCATGCTATGAAACTTATCGCAATAAGGTGTCGATGGTTGGAAGAGAGAAGATAAGTGTTGCAGTTATTTTTCTTTTGCTAAAATAAAAGAAGTGCAAAACGATTCTGTCGTAAAATGACATATTAAATTGAAAACAACATGCTGAAATAATGTTCGAAAATGTGTTGCTCCGATTATGCTTCGTCTTCTTGTGAAGTACCAACCAATTGTGTTACTCAGATTGATTTCTCAACATTCATAACAACACCAAAAGCCACTGTCTGTCCCCTGTCTCGAACAATGAACTGACCCAATTTTTGATATTCATCGAACTGTTTAATACACAAAGATTGTTGAGGAATCAACTTGACCAAAGCAGTTTCACCAAGTTTAAGACATTGTGGTGCCTCTTCAATGGTCTGGCCTGATCGACGATCGATTTTCTTAAGTAGTTCGATGAACTTGCAAGCAACATTAGACATATGACATTGGATCACTGCTATATATCCAGCATTGATCTGGTCTACACAATTGATCAGCACAATCTGATAATAAGAATTGTTATTCTTCTTGCTCGAATAGAAGTAAAAAAGTAAAAATATTTACTTGGGCAATAAAACTCAAGACTTTTGAGTCGGATCGTTTGTTGGATCCGAGCCAATCAATCCTGGTCGTAGTTCTCTCGTATGAATACTTTTCACATGAAGTGTTACATAATCACCAGGTATCGCTTCTGAATCACACAGAACATTGTAAGGTAAAGCGACAAAAAAGAATTTATACCCTTAATAGTTTCGTAGTTTATCTCGATCGATTCGATTTCAGCTGTGATATTTGATGGAGTAAAATGGACAATCGTGTGCGTCTTCATTACACCTGTTTCTACTTGACCCATGAGAATTACTCTATCACCATTCCTTTCACCTTTGCTACACAGAGTGAAACGCAATGGTCTCATCGCGAGCTGCACTGGAGGAATGAGCCCGTCTAAGGCTTCCAAAATGGTAGTGACTGTGATGTTATCACTGTTGCGATGGATATTCCAGCCCTGAAACCAAGGCATTTTGTTCGATGCTTGAACAAGATTATCACCATAGAAGCCAGATATAGGAACAACTGTAATAAAGTGTGATTGAAAACCTATTTTCTCCATGCATTTGAGGACTTCCGTCTTAATTTCGTTGAAGCGATCTTCTGAATAGGATGGCTGGATTGCATCCATTTTGTTGACGCCAATAATGATTTGCTTGACACCGAGAGTATAAGCGAGCAGTGCATGTTCGCGAGTTTGACCATACTTTGAAATTCCGGCTTCGAACTCGCCGAGACCAGCAGAAACTATTAACAAGATACAATCAGCCTAAAGAATAGAAGGAACCTATAGCCAATATCACTGAAAACATAATTTTCTCATTGCTTATACACAAATCTTTACAAGAACGAACAACAAGACTTTGCATACTTTTGAAATATTGTTGATCATATTTGTCATGTAATCCCGGAAACCCGGAGCATCGACGATAGTAATCGAGTATTTTGTAGTCTCAAATGTGCACAATGCGATATCGGTGGTGATGCCACGTTCACGTTTACCTTGCAGTTTGTTTAGTATCCAAGCATATTTGAAGGAACTTTTGCCCATCTGTCGATCATCAATAATCGAAGAGTTCGAGCAACAAATTAACTAAGTAAAAAACTTACTTCCATAGCTTCTTTCTCGAATTTCTCGAAAGTTCGCTTATCCATACAGCCGCACTTGTAGAGCAAATGTCCGATTACTGTAGATTTGCCACAATCAACATGACCAATGACAGCTATCTTTACAGGAATCTTTTTGCTGTCCATGGCTACTAATTGATATCGATATCCTAAGATTTAATAAATATGTTTCAGATGATTTTGATTTCAAATCTACAAAAATGTATCGTGAGTCAATTTGCTCTGTTGATGAAATCGAACTTACGCAAAGTGTTTCTCGTATGATGTCATTCCAGCTTATCAAAGCGAGTTTTTAGTATAGAACGCAAAAAAGAATTATGCAATATGATAAGTAATTTGACGCACACTGCTTATCATGTCAAGTCAGTTGATTTGCTAATAGATAAGGAATAGTATGTTTTACAGAATATGCTGAATTATGCCTCTATCTTTTGCTTGTGGTAGCATTTTATATGAAATTTCAATAATCAGGAAGCTAATTCTGAGTATAAGATAATGGCAAGAGATGACATGAGTAGTAACAAAGGAAAAAAGTCAACTTAAGAGTCAAAGAGTAGAATGTGGCGATTTTGTATGAAGACGTTGGTCGTTACTTTGACTATAGAAAGTGATACAAACCCAATAGAATTATGCATTTCGCTTATGAATCACGTATAATTTCTGGTCTATACTGAAGATGTGGAGATGGTGAATCTTCGTCATCATCTCGGTTCACTGAAATCATTTGAGATTTAGTTCTATTGGCTTGTTCCCGTCGAGCAGCAGTCAATCGGGAAAAATAGCTGCATATTTGAGTTGTTGTTAAAAATTGATCAGGTTGAAAAACAAATTTCCCGTTTTTCTCTTTTGTTTCCATTTCCTGAAAAAAGTTTAGATGCAAAGTTTGATCAATTTTGAGATTACTAACCAACGAAACAGCTGATGGATTCCATTTATGACGACATGCCTCACCTTCATTGTACTTCTCCGTCAGAAATTTTATTTATTCTAATGAATAACGAATAGTGGCTTTAGATTTAGACAAAGCCCATCCTTGTTGATTCATAATAACGATATATATCTTGTTGATAGTCTCGTCCTTTATTTAAAGGTAGTGTTATTCAACCGGACATATTGACTTATTCATTATGATCATGATTTATGGAGTTCAGATGATCCAAATGTATTCTTACTAGAAAGATATCCGATGGCTTTTATGCCTTTTGGTTTTGGTCCACGCAATTGTATTGGAAAACGATTTGCTTTGATGGAAATTAAAATGTGTCTGGCGCGTCTACTTCGACATTATTCAATCTATCCTGTGAATCAAATTGAAGAAAAATTTAAACTCAAAAATACTCTGTTTATTCTTCAACCGAAAAATGTTTACGTGAAAATTGAAAGACGTTCATTGTAAATAATTATTAAAAAAAACAGTGCACTTCTTTAAATATCATTGATCCTTTTTGTTTTCGTTCAATGATAATTATTGAGATCAACATCGCTATTCGGTCAGATAACAAGAGATCTTGACCTACAGTTAATGATATAAAAATCACAAAATTTCGTCACCATAAAAATGACTGTTTGACGGTGAAGAAATGCAAGAGTGGGTCTAGGATGTGGATTTGGATATTCTCTTCGTCCACATCCACTCATCTACTTAGAACTATCCAAAAGTAGCGGCGGAGGTACTTTATTTACTTATAAAACGTTTGAAAAAAACTTTCTTTTTATAGGCAGTGATAGTAAAAACAATGTTCTATTTCTCGCTGCTATTTGATCATTCTTCAACTAAAAACATAATAATAAAATTTCGATAAGATCTGTTTTCATCATTCGAAGAAGGAGATGAAGATGCATCGGATTGCATACGGAATGTTGTTTGAGATTTGTTTAATCGATTTTCTAAGTTTCGAAAAAATGGGTTGTTTATTAAGCAAAAAAAACTTTTTTTTCAGAAAAATTGCTAGAAAAGTCACTTACAATTTCGACTAGAATATTTATAACTCCTGAATGAGGTTAGGTTTTTTTTTCAAGCAGGTCGATTGAAAGCCTTAAAAAAATCAGGTCAAAAAAGTCTATAATATACTATTCGATGCATCTTCATCTTCTCTTTCGAGTGATGAAAACAGCATCTCTCTATCTTTTGTTTCTATCAAAATTTACTTAAAAAAATATCTATTAATTTTTTTTTTTAAAGGTATTAGTATAACCGTCATATATCATAGAAAAATAGATCTTATCGAAATTTTATTATTATGTTATTAGTTGAAGAATGATCAAATATTAATGAGAAATAGAACATTGTTTTTACCATCACTGTCTACAAAAAGAAAGTTTTTTCAAGCGTTTTATACGTAAATAAAGTATCTCCGCCACTACTTTTGGATAGCCCTAAATAACTTAACAAATATTGAAACATTGCTGCTTTTAAAGCAAAAAGAACAGTGAAAAAGATCGTTCGTGTTTAATAATATGAAAATATTTATTATGATGAGCAAGTTGTCTATTAAAAATGCTTTTTTTTTCAAAGTTTAACTTGATTTTAAATCAGCACACTATGGAAATATGGCTTGACGATAGTAAAAATCTTTACAAGCATTTGAATCTATTGGTATGTAAATGAAAGAGACTTAATCGAACGAATTTGTTTTTTTTGTTTTGAATATTCATGGTGAAGCCAATAATGCGAAAATCATACCTTATCGCTTGATAGTTCAAAAACGATTTCCTAATAGTCAAATATGTATTGAAAAATCAAGGTTTCGTCTATGGATATGACTTTTGTTTTTGATTTGTTATTATAGAATGATTGTATATTGAAAATAATAATACTGACAAACCTATTGTTTTTAGTTTTTGTTACATCTATTTAATAAAATTAAACAAATTTAGTATACAATCGGTTTTCTAATTCAATTTTAACTTTTTGAGAATACAATTATTTAATAAAATACAAATGAAAATCATCGAAAACTCTGAAATAATATATCCATTGTGCGATTATTTCGATTTTATAACAAAAAAGGTTCGTTTTAATCGATTTTTACTGAGTAAAATTCATTATAATCAAATGTTATATCGAATTTAATCGAAATGTGGTACTTTTAATCTATTTGGGTGTGCGTATGGATGTGTTGAAGAGAACATCCACACCCATATTCTATCTGCAGTATCATTTTTTGTACCCAATGATGATCTTAGAATATATTCAAAACTCGTACACTTACAGTCTCACTGGAACAGTATACTTTTTTTCGGCATTTCTCAACTTTCTATTCTTGTTTAGCGATCTCTTGTGTTGATGTTAATGTAGTGCGATGAAGATGCGGGTGTGTGAAATAATTTTTTAGCTTCTTTAAGAATTGTTACAGAGTTATTTATGCCATTAGATAGACTATATTTCGAAGAATATTTCCCTATATTTAAATCTTGGCAAAGTGTGATTTTCATTTTTAGCCCAATGTGAAATGCGGGTAAGTTTTCTCGTCAAGCACATATATACACATATTTATATTCACATCCTAGTTTTGTTGGTGTCACGCCCAATGAAACGTAATGATCGACAAGGATAACTCAATGATCGTATGCTTAATACCAGTATAAAGAAGATTACCAATATGAAACCACATGTACAGAGCTCCGATGGCCAAACAAAAGCAGAGGAAGAACTTCAAGTATATAGACACAGTTTGGTATTATTGATCGAGTGTATAAAATTTTTTTTTTCTTTTTGTCGGTCCACTTGAGGTTTCCTTCGTTCTTCATTCAAAGAGCACTGACATGCAGTATTTCTATCGGTGGCGCTGTAAAAAAAATCCAACGAAAACACGCAACTATGATTTTCATCGTCTTAATGTAAAAAAAACATTCACTCACCGAATAAGTATATAAGACAGCATTCAAACCAGTGACAAATTCATCATTGGTAACTATTATTGAAGTATACATTTGTGAAATTCGTTGTGAAGCATTCTTCGATAATGGGTTTTTTTGACTTACACGAACCAGATGATGGACGTGATCCATTCTTTCTGTATGCAATGGTTATTCTCCCATTCATCTCCGCTGGATCCTACGCCTTCGATGCATGGTATCACTATGCGTATCATTCTGAAGGACGTACTTACATAGGACTATTGTCGACAATTATCATCATCTTCTCCTATTTACAATATTGTGCTCCTATTCGAT